ACTCCCATCCCCCTGCCCTGCAGCAATGCTGGGTAAATCTTCTAGTTGTATATTTATGTAAGCAGCCTCTAGTGGTGTCAATGGGAGTTACACTTGAAGGCACTCAGAAGGCAGGCAGCCCCTACAGGATGGGTCCTAGACTGAATTACTGTGTCTTTCCCTTATGTAACTAAAAAGAGTGAGAACTAAATGGCTGCAGTGAAATACTGTTGAAAATTTTGACTTGTGCTGATGCTACGATCCACAATGGGAGGACTGTCTAATGAAGTACATTGAAAACTTAAGTTCATTGAGAAAATGATGCCAAATAAAAAATATTTGCCTGTGTGAAGGATGCGCTGTTTGGTCTAAAGGAAAGTAGAGTGGGAAGAGCATGATGGGAGTGGTCAGCTCGCTGACCTTAAAACGTACTAGACACTATGTGGCCATCCATATACATTTGTTTTGGTCCTGTAACCTTAGTTACTTCTAGTTGGACTGATGTGAGACTCCATGGCTTTGAATAAGGCAATATATACTTGTAGGTATTTGCCACAAGGCAAGGCCTTTTATTGACTCAGGAAAACATCAGCTAATCAGACATTATTTGCCTCAGTATGTAAATGGCCAGATATAGCACTATAATGACACACCATTATCACTGACTTTTCCCTGCTTTAGTATTTATTATTATTCCCACTGCTTTGTACCCTCAGAAACTTACCATACATCAGATCGGTTAGTAAACACACCGTCAATAAGACTTTCAGGTGCCATCCATCTCACAGGAAGCAGCCCTTCTCCTCTTTTCCTGTAATAATCGTTTTTATAGACATCTCTAGCAAGTCCAAAATCCCCAATCTTCACTATTCGGAAGAGACTGGTATATTCCTTCACTGACACAAGGCAATTACGAGCTGCCAGGTCCCTAATGAACAAATCATAAACAGTGATGGAATTGTAACAGTTTTTGCCAGTTAAAGTTATTTGCTCCTACAACTGTAGGTAGCAACCTATAAGAACTACAAGGCAATTAACCCCATACCTGTGAATGAAGTGCATTGTCTCCAAATAGACGCAACCTTTGCAAATATCCAGACATATAGTCAGAAGGTCAGCCACTTTTAGCAAAGAACCTTGGAACTAGAAGAAAGAGAGGTAGTCTTGTTCTGACAAAATAGCAAAGAGGTGCAAAATCTCTAAGGGTATGTCTACACTACAGCACTAATTCGAACTAACTTAATTCGAATTAGTTAATTCGAACTAAGATAATTCGAATTAGTGCATCTAGACCTAAAAACTAGCATGTCCACATTGAGTGGACCCTGAACCGAGGTTAAGGATGGCCGGAAGCAGTGCCGCCAGGGCATCAGATTAGGATTTAGAGCGTGGAGCTGCTGTCTCAGGCTAGCCGAGGGCTGTGCTTAAAGGGACCCGACCCCCACCCCGGACAGACAGTTCTCAGGGGTTCCCTGCTTGCAAAGCAGTCCTGGCTTGGAGTGTCCTGAGTGCCCACACTCGGCACATCACAGCACTCGGCCATCAGCCCGGCTGCACTTGCTGCAGGCTGCCATCTGGGGGGGGATCAATCGGGGGCTTCAGGAGAGCTTCCACCCTGAGGAGCCCGCAGAGCCACCCCAGTCCTCCCCATTGGAGCTTGTACCCCATTCCTCCCTCACCTCCTTCCACTTACCTCCCCCAGCCCCCCCTTCCTGATGTACAAAATAAAGGACACATGTGTTCAAAAATAGAAACTCTCTTTATTGAACAAAACTCGGGGAGACTGGGAAAAGGAGGTGGGAGAGGGGAAGAGAGAGGGTGGGAGAGGGGAGGGCAACTAAAATGATCAGGGGTTTGGAACAGGTCCCATATGAAGAGAGGCTAAAGAGACTGGGACTTCTCAGCTTAGAAAAGAGGAGACTGAGGGGGGATATGATAGAGGTCTATAAAAGCACGAGTGGTATGGAGTAAGAGATGTATCCCTCTTCCCCAACCCTTCATTTGTTGGGTGTCCTCCTAACATATAAGCTCTTTGGGACAGGGACAGAGTCTTCCTATATATTTGAGAACTACCTGCCCCATGACTGATGTTTCTGCAATGCAAATAATAAAAAGAGGAAATATTATACTGTCAGCCTTATACCTATTTGGGTTACATTTTTTAAAGCACTGAGCAATAAGCTTTCTAGGTCTAAAAATGCTTTTGGAAAATATAGTCGTAGGCCTATTAGCAGCTCAATCTACTGCCACATAAGAGCTCTGAAGTGGGTCATGAGCTCAGTGTTGAGTTCCTGGGTTGCTACAATGCAGCCAGCCCAGAGACCCTCAGATGGAAAAAAGGGTTGGGCAGACATAGGGCCTTCCACGGAGGGAAGAAGAGGGGAATGGGGGAATCCTAATGTATATATAGGAGTCCTCTGCCTACCTTTTGTCCTCTTGCTCCTCGTAAGTAGCTGAGTAGATCTCCTCCTTCCATCAGTTCCAAGATAATGTACTGGGGTTCATTCATCAGACAAACTCCAAGTAATTTCAGGATGTGGAGGTGATCAAATTTGCTGAAGAAAAGAAAACATATGTTGGAAGAAAAATCCATGAAAAATCATGGACTTTACTAGCTACTGGTGCTGTACTATGCTGTTTCATCTCTAAAATCCTGTCTGTTCCAACAGCAGGATTTTGACTTTTGCTATGTCTTGTATCTCCTCAGTCTTAAAGAGAATTCAAGTATATACACAAAAAACAGTTTTATATTATTCTGTGGGGAAAGGTGGCTAGACACAGACTCATCACAGTGTTTCTAAGAAAAAGGGAAATTTGTAGAAAGAGAATATCCATGTGATTGTCTCTTCTTGGTTGAAATTAATATAACCTGCAAAATTCCCCTGATGTTCTGAAGATTTATGGTATTTAAAGTGTTTTCTTCAACATATAACTAGAAGAGAAAAAAATATGCCCTTTTACAATCACTATTATTAGATTGGAATGACTCACCCAGAGAAATCCATTCCATCATGTGGTTTCTGGGGGCAATACACTGTATTAGTGAAAAGGAATTTCTGCAGCTTTTTGCTAGCTTGTCATGAATTTGGAGTCTAAAGAGGATATTGATTATGGCACAAAATCTGTTGACCGCACAAGAGGTTTCATTAGCTAACACCATGCTAGATGTTGTGTACAAGTTCTGCTATCTAGGATCATCTGTACTGGATAACTTACTTCTAGATGACAACCTTAATTCTTGCATCAGCAGCTACCACATTCAGCCAACTGACCAAGGGCATGTGGGATAACAAGAAACTAACACTGAATACCAAGATACACATCTACCAGATGTGTTTTGAGCACATTGCTATTGGGTGGTAAATCCTGGATCACCAGCTGTCTTTGCCATATCCCAAATATCAAGTGGGAAACCAAAGTTCCTGACACTTGCAACACTGCCAAGTCTAATCACTATTCATGAACACAGATGTCTCTGTTGGCTTGCTCATCTGCACCAGATGTTACATGGACATAGTCCAAAGGATTTCTTGTATGGAGAAGTGGCAAATGCCCTGCCACTACTGGGCTGACCCAGAGTCAGATACAAGGATGTTAGCAAGAGGGACTTGAAAACTTTCAACAGTGACACAGCAAGCTGGGAAAGATATGTAACTCACAAGCCTTATGGGTGTGCTGCACGGTCCCATCTGCTGGCACTGAGACCACTTATAGAGAAAATAATGAGTCTGCTCTATAGCCTTAGATGAAAGCCAGCTGGCTTTTAGCTCATGTGATAGAGGTTCAGGAACTATGCTCCAGAGCATGGATTCCCAAACTGGGGGGCATGCCCCCCTGGGGGGGGCATGAAGAAATTCCAGGGGGGGGGGGAGAGGCAACCCAGCTCCCACTCCCCCCCATCAAGTTTTGCTGCCCCGATCAGTTCCTTTTTTTCTGCTCAACAAGTTTTGCTGTTGGGGTATGTGTGTGTGTCAGGGTTTTTCAAAAATCAAAAAGGGGGTGTGATGCCGAAAAGTTTGGGAACCACTGTTCCAGGGTTTCCAGATTCAATTCCACCCACAGACAACCAGGGTCTGCCTGCATTACAGATGCAGCTAACAACAGGCTACACTTTACCATAGAGTCAAGGAGCTGAAGATGGGTTTTTGAGGAAGAATGATTAAGAAAGCTCAAGCCCTTGAGCATTAGTAATGAGATGGCTCCATCCTTCACCCATGCACCTTACATTTGCGTTATCTGTCACTCAAAAATTGGACTTTTTAGCCACTTGAGGTGCTGCTGCATGACACATACTAACTCAACTTCGTTGGCATTTACACCATCATTTTTTTAAGATAGATGGTTGCCATCATACAGTTTTTAGGGGCAAATGACCACAGATTCTTCAGAGTTAGAGATATAAAAGACCCATTAGGTTATCCAGCCCATCTACTTGCTTAAGCAGCACTGCTTCCTCTAGTACATTTCAAAGAAAATCTAAAACTGCATGAGGAATAATGGCAATCTAATCTGTATGCATAAACCCCATAAACAAACTTTTGTGTGTCCAAACAAATAGGGATATTATAAGCACTAAAATCTAAAACATTTCAAAATAATTAATTAAAAGCAATTCAAGGGTCTGTCAATTTCTGTATTTTTATAATCACATTTCCTTGAGACTTAAAATGGTTCTCTCTCCCCATTGTAAGAGTTCTCAGACAAACCATCTGAGAAACAACATAAGGGATAGAGTGAAACTGACTTTAGTCAAAGTGCTGTCAAATGTAAACAAACAAAAAAAACCTCAGAAACTTTTTTCCTCTAACCTCTTTCAGTTCCAGGAATCTTAGGTGTTGCTTGTAACAATAGGAGGTAAAAACTTCTCAGTGAGAAGTGTGGTTTTTAAGTTGACAGTTTTCTTCCCCCTCCTGGCACATACCTCTCAATCATACATACAATCCAGTGCTCTCAAGAACAAGAGAAAGAGCACCTGGTACTCCCCTTACAAGTCTCCAACAGTTTCTCCACAGACCTGTCATTCTTTGTCTCCCCAGATTTTGGAATATATTTTTGAACACAAGAGACTCAGTTACCAATATCCAATATCAAATGGTTGTTTGAAAACAAAATCTAACCCAAATATTTTTATCACTGGTGCATAATAATAGTAACAGAAGCAATGCATACTCTTTCTTAAAACACAACAGTATGCATAGCATAACTGTCTGCATTGCAATATTCATTTAGACAAACAAGCAACAGAAAAGTTATATTTAGATAAAAAGCACATCAGGATTTTATAAACAGCTTCAATTATGTTGCCCAGTCAGTCTTCAACTTCAATAAATTATGAGACCTAACAAATAAATGTTAAGCATCCACGTTTACATCTTTTTTATGGATAAAGAAAAATATTGTCCTTTTGGTAAGTGTCTTCCCTGCAAACTTGATAGTAAACAAAACACACACAAAAGCTCCTGGTTTAGTGAAGGTTAATGGGAAAATGAAATTCTAAATTATGTTACACATTTTGCCAATCCTATTGTGTATGTAAATGTAATTGTTCTAATTTTCAGCAGTTTCTATTTCCAGGAATTTCGTGTTTGAATTATTTATCTGTAAGAAATAATGCAGTAGGGGCAATAGAGATGCATGAGATATGTTGTCTATAGGTATATAATATTGTTCCTTCTCTGAATAGAATCCCTCTGATTCATTGGTTGAAGATGGTGTGGCTGGAATTGAGACAGACCGTATCCTGATATCATAGGTCTGTTGGAGCTGGGGTTTGAGGAACTGATGATGTTACAGTGTCCATGAAGGACAGGGACTCTGAATCTGGGTAGGTTATGAGAACATCTCAAAGGGTGCATATCAGTTGAACTGGAGGAGAACTGGCTGGAGTCTTAGGTTTCAGGATCAATGGTGCAAGATCAGGCGTGCTGTATGAGACTGCCAGCACACAGGGCATGCACTGCTTACTACCTTTGCACATTCACAGGATGGTTTTGGATCAGCAGAAGCTGATGGTACTATCAATGCCTGCCCCATCTCACTATGAGATTCTAGGTAACCCTGCTGTGGGGTTCAGAGCCTCACTGGAACCTGAGGAGGAGGAGTGACGCTGCTCTTGTATTTGAGGACCTCTGAACAGACTTCTCTGCTCTCTAGTGCTTCTTCCCCTGGTCATGCATCCACTTGGTCTTTCCGCTTGGTGGGATGTTCTGCCAGTGCCAGTGGAGCAGTGCCGAGAGGCTCAGGTGAAAAGCTGGAGAACAGGATGGCCCTGGATTTGCCATAGGTCTCATGGTTAGTTTTGTAAAGGGTTGGCAGACCTGGAACTCTTGAACCCTCCTGGTACAAGGCGAGACAAGTAGCAAATCTCACATTTGGATTAGGGATGTGAATGGGTAACCCGTCAACTGGTTAGTCGATAAGCATCACCTGGTAAGGTGTGACATTTACCGGTAACCAGTTAACTGGCAGCCCCATGGGGCTGGGAGCCGGGAGCCAACAGTCCTGTGGGGCCAGAGGGAGGAAGCTCCGCTGGGCCGAGAGCCAGTTGCCGCATGGGACTGAGAGCCAACAGCCCCGCAAAGTCAGGGGCGAGAAGCTGGCAACCCCAGGAGCCAGCAGCCCCACAGGTGGGAGGTTGCCCCAGCCGGGCCAGGCTCACTACACTACAGAATCCCACTTAATCAGTTAACCAGTCAAATGTAACATTTAACTGGTTAACTGATTAAACGAGATTTTATACCCCTAATTTAGATAGAATGTATGACTACTGGCTGTATGGTGAAGTTAGCATTGAAGGTTATCTAGGGACAGGCAAGGCATGTTTGAAGCTTGCAATTCTAGACATAGGGGAGACACAGGGTGGGAAAGTTAACTTCCCAGCTCCACTAACTAAACTAAATTGGATTTAAGCTAATTAACTATGTACATGTAAAAATGAAATAACTATTTACAATTATTTACAGGTAAAAAGTCAAGTGAAAGAAGAGAATACAGGTGGATTCTATCCCAGATGGCAAGCAGTAGAAGACAAATGGAAGAGGTGCATGCACACATACATCAGAGGGATCCACACTTAAAGAGGGGGGGAAAGTGCACTCAAATATGAGGAAATAAAGCATAAAACCTTAACGCCTTCCCCTTTATGAAACTGCATTTTGGTACAGTCTTTAATTACGTAAACACACACAAATATTTTCACCTTAGTCATGACTCACTCTATGTTCAGTGCAGACAGTATGTACAGAATAATCAAAGGAAAAGTTACCGGGATTTTAAAAAACGTGAAGACAGAAGCAAAGAGGGAGTATGCATGCAATACAGGCAGACCCTGAGTTACATTAATCCGACTTAAGTCGGACCACTAGTTACGAACGGGGGGGGCGGGGTGCAGCTAGTGCGGGGTGCCTCCCCCACTGTCGTCGCCTCTGGTGGTGCGGGGGGCGCTTCCCCCCAGCAGACCAGGGAGATGCAGAGCTAGCGCCCCCCTCCCCCAGCAGACCAGTGAGACGCGGAGTGGCTTTTCTTGCCGCGGAGGACGCGGGTGGCGGGACTGCCGAGACGCACCGCGGTCCCACTGCCCGCATCCTCCGCGGCGAGAAAAGCCGCTCCGCGTCTCCCTGGTCTGCTGGGGGGGGCACTAGCTCCGTATCTCCCTGGTCTTCTGGGGGGAAGTGCCCCTCCGCGCTGCCGGAGGCAGCAACAGTGGGGGAGGCACCCCGCACTAGC